CACTTGCAGGTGAGATGGTACCATATAGATCCTTCTAGAGGCATCAGGCTTTCCTTTGGAGTTGGTAACATAGGCCTAGAGGCCAAGGACAGAGAAGCAGAAAATCAAGGTTACAGTGTGAATTCTAGGTCAGCTTGGACAACCTAGTGAGACCCATCTTAAAATAAAAAGTTAAGAGTGGTGGTATACATCTTTAATTCCAGAGCTCAGGACACTTATGAGTACTGTCTGCACGTACACCTGCAGGCCAGAAGAGGGCATCAGATCCCATTATAAATGATTGTGAGCCACTATATGGGTGCTGAGTACTGAACCCGGGTCCTCTGGAAGAGCAGCCAGTGCTCTTAACCACTGAGCCATCCCTCCAGCCCCTTTTGCCTAACTTTCAATGTCCATCTTGGAAAATGTTTTTATCCCTTGGCCCCAAAAGACTATTCTGATGCTCAAGGCCACAGTAAGGATAAGCTGAAATGTAGTCTAAAACAGTCTTCTCATTTCTCATCTCCACACCCACTCCCCACAAAGATGGAAACTGAATCTAAGTCCTCATGTCCACTATTCACAAGTGCTCTACCACTGAACCCAAATCCCAGTAATGTCATTTCTGACAACCCTAGTGGATCCTGCCGCATTGAAACATCCAGACAACAGCCATCTCTTGACTGCATACTCAAAATCCCTGTGACCAGCTCTGGTGACCTTTCATCTCTGGGGAGGCCTCCGCTAATCTTTCAGCCCAGAAAGATGTCCTGGTTTCCCCTCAAGGAACAAGCGGTACTGAAGATGTGGTTCAGTGGGTAGAGTGCTGGCCAGAGAATACCACAAGCCCAGAGTTTTATCCCTGGCACTACCTAAAACAGAACAGTGAAGACACACAGGCCTGTAGTACAATCCAAGTCACTCCAGAGGTGGCAGCTGGAGGAACAAGACAGATTTCAAGGAATAACTGCTTGTCACTGGAATCAAGCCGATCATGAGGGAGTCTCAGCTAAGTGAGAGATGTTACACACTCGTGTCTCAGACAAGAAAACAGAAGGCTGGACAATGCTGTTGACATACCCAGGCATTTGGGGAACCTAGCAGATCCCTGTGGTTTTTAGCAGTCACTGGAGAAGAAAGCGGGGCCACTAAGTCTTTAAAAGCTGCCCCTTCTGCACAGAATCAGAGTGCCTGCAGTTCTCTTCTCCTAAGCCTTCAGCTTATAATGCCAACATTACTCCATCACCCTCAGCACTGACACCTTCCTTCTCTAGCACCAGGGCTAGACTGTGTGAGCGTGTGAGTCCCTGGAGCCTCAGCCCAGATCAGGCATACAGAAAGGACAAAAGAATGTCTTTAGGAAGAAAAACAAAACAAAACTGAACACTCAGAGAAAAACAAAATGCTAATACCTTACTAAGGGAATCTTGAATTTTTTTTTTTTTTGAGTTATGATCTCATCATAGTCCAGACTGTCATTGAACTTTTTTTTTTTTTTTTTTGAGACAGTGTCTCTCTGTGAAGCTCTGGCTACCCTGGAACTCACTCTATAGACCAGGCTGGACTCAAACTGCCTGTGCCTGGGAGTAAAGGCATGAGCCACCACCACAAAGCTGATATATCCTTGAACTCTTACCCTCCCCTCCTGCCTCATACTCCACAGTGCTAAGATGACTTAAGTCTCTTGCATGGTGTTCGTGTACATGATCTCACGCAGGTGTGTTCCTAAACATCAGAAGAAGGCCTCAGGTGTCTTGCTCTTGGCTTTGTTCTGGTCAGTCTCACTGAACTAGGAGTTAGACTGGCAATCAGCAAGCCCGAGCAAACCTCCCATCTGCCTCTGACGAGACCTGGGCTATGTGGGTGCTGGGGATTTAAACTCAGGTCCCCACCCTTGCACAGCAAGCTTTCCTACCCACCTAGGTATCTCTTATCTGCAGCAGTGGTTCTCAACCTTCCTAATGCTGTGATTCTTTAATACAGTTCCTCAGACTGTGGTGACCCCCAACCATAAAATTATTTTCAATGCTACTTCATAACTGCAATTTTGCTACTGTTATGAGTCATACTGTAAATCACTTTATTTACTGATAGTCTTAGGCAACCCCTGTGAAAAGGTCATTCAACCCCCAATGGGTTGTGACCAGCAAGTTAAGAACCACTTTTCTGAAGGGTTTTTGTTGTCATCAAAGATGTTTTTGAGAAGGGGGTCTTGTAATGCCAGGCTGGTCTGAAATGCATGCTCACTCCTTCAGCCTCACAGGTGCTAGAACTTCAGGCATTTGTCATCTTTTTGATAGAAGAAACGTCCTGATCCTAAAATTTGGGAATTCTGCATCTTTATCATCCATCACCTCAATGCACTAACTGCAGAGGTAGCAGAATAAACCTAGACATGATTCAGACAGAAGTGGGATTCTAGAAAGAACGAATCAAATTTTATATTAAAAGGCCAACTGCGTGCCGGGTGGTGGTGGCACCACCTTTACTCCCAGCACTGGGGAGGCAGAGGCAGATGGGTCTCTGTGAGTTCAAGGCCAGCCTGGTCTACAGAGTGAGTTCCAGGACAGTCAGAACTGTTTCACAGAGAAACCCTGTCTTGAAAAAGAAAAAACAAAACAAAAAAAGGCCAACCGTGGTGGTGGTGATGGTGGTGGTGGTGTACATCAATAATCCTAGCAGGATTGTAAATTTAAGGCCAGCCTAGGCTATATAACAAGTTCAGAACTACTCTGAATCACATAGCAATACTGTGTCAAAATAAATTCTAGGGCTATTGAGATAGCGCGACAGGTAAAAGTCCCTGTTGCCTTGCCTAATAACGTAATGTCATGAAGAGAACTGACTTCTACACACTGTCCTCTGACCCCCACAGCTGTAACACATGCATAGCCACACACAAAATACATTTTTGAAAGATTAAAAAAGATAATTTTATTAGCTAAACCAAACAGAAAGCTTGTCTCTGTCACATGTTTGTGCAGCTAACCTCAACTGTCCTATGTCAGGTCCCATGGCTGCGTACATGGCAGAAGAGGGTAGAGAGAGATTCTGAAGAATCTCGGGGTTCTCCTTTACCCCTCAGAACTAAGTGACCTCCCAAGTCCAGAAATATCAGGGGCTCCTCGGGGTCAGGGCGCCTAGCAATGGTTTACTCTAGATAGAAGTTTCTGGGAACAACTTCTTTTTTTTTGTTGTTTTTTTGAGACAGGTTGGCCTGGACTTACAGAAATCCTCCTGCCTCTGCCTACTGAGTGCTAGGATTAAAGGTGTGTGCCACCACTGCCCAGCTAGTTTCTGGGAACTTCCAAGGAATAAGGAGAGACCCAAATTCCTATTTCTGGCTAGCTTTGAAGAACAGTATCTTTTTTGATCTTTAAGGTGCTGAGTATACGTAGCCTAGCATTTATAGTCTAGGGTGGGACCCCTAGCACTGCATCAAGAAAAAGAAAAAAGGAAGTCCTATGCACAAGCCACCCAGAAGCTTGGCATATGCAAACTGATCTCTAGCCATAGACCTAGCTCATCTGAAACCCAGACAAGCTAGTTTGTTTTGTTTCTTTGAGACAGGGTCTCATGTATCCCAGGCTGGCCTTGAATTTCCTATGTAGCTGAAGCTATAACTTTGGATCCTTGTTCTCCTTCCTCTCCAGTGCTAAGTAAACTGGGATGTCAAGCTTGTGCCACCACACCCAATGTATTCAGTGCTAGGATTAAACATGAAATCTACAAACCAATTACATCCCTAACTCAAAGGAAGTCTGTTAGTAAATCTTTGCTTATTGCCTTTGACTAGGAAGAATGACTGGGTAGAGAACTGGACTGGAGAAAAATTCTCAAGTGAAAACCAGAAAAAAAAAAAAAAACAGTATCTGAGGAAATATTCATGGAGCAGGTGGGCAAAAGACAGTGACTTTCTCCATTCTGGTCCTGTCAATCATCCTAAGAGACTGGCCACCCTGCTTGCTGAGGCCAGGTCTGCAGGACTGAACTGCTTCTTAGTCCTTATAAGAACTGTGACACAGAAGTCATTAACAGGCCAGAGAACTCAAGCTGACAAGAGATGCCTAGTCCCTTAATCACCACTCAAACAGAAGTGCCCTTTCAAGGCCTGCCTAATAGTAACTGGTTAAATACACCTCTTCTCCAGGAACTCAATGTGATGATCTATGGTGCCATTATTAAGGCAACGTCTCAAGGCCCAACTAGCTTCTTGACTGTTCACAAGCAGCTCCAGTACAAGAGAAGAGAAACCAGACATTCTGCGACTTCCAGCTCCAGCTCTGCAACCAGCCTCAAAAGGCAAATACAGTCAAAATCAGAGCTCTAGTCACAAGGTTCCTGCCACGTTTCTTGTCCAGCACTGGGCTCAAGGTACTCAAGCTTGGAGCTCATTTCACATATCAAATCCTACCTTATCCTTCTTAAGGAATCATCTTTATTTCAGGCTATGCTCTGCTGACTCGAGGAGGTTCTTATACATCGAACTGCTTCTTTCGTTAAAGAATTCCAATGTTAGTTTCTGCAATAGCACCAGCAGCATCCTGCCTCGGAACTACAACAGAGGTTCTGATGTATTTTAGAATTGGGCTGTGCCTGAGAAACCTAACAAAATCCTTGGTGGCTCACACAACTAATTTCACTTCTTTGGGATCTGGCATCCTTCCTCGATTATAACAAAGTCAGGCAACCCACCCCAGAGCTGGAGCCTTGTCATGGATAAAGAAGGGTGGAGGCTGGGCCTACCAGCCGGGAACTGCCTCTCCAAAGACACCAGGTCCAGATTTCCTAAGACTACCTAGAGATAAATCCCACGAGGCATCCCCTCCCGCCCCAGATTCCCTGCCCCTGTCCTCCATGCTGGACAATGCAGCATAGGTTCCACTGAGGTAGAGGTTAAGTTTCGTGCAGTCCCAGCAGGCAATCAGGCAGAGAAGCGTTCACCTACATCCTAGCCGGGCTATGGTTTGGAACCGGGCAATGGTCCCAAGCCCCAGCAGCGGCAGGAGGGCAACCCTTACCCATGCTGGCTCTGGAGCGAGCTGGGTGGCGTTGCCCATCCCCGGATCTTCGCCGGCCGGTGGTGGGACGTGGGTCTGGGGTCGGCCCGCCAACCTGCCAGCAGAGGTTGTAGGATTCGAGCAAGCCAGGCAAGGCCACACAGGGCGGGGCCCTGAGAGCTATCCTGATCGTCCGGACCAGAGAAAAAGATCTGGCCACAGCGCGGTCCAGCGCAACAGCCAGGACACAGGGCAGCACGGACAGGCGTCCGTCAGGCTTTCAGCATTCCCCCGGCCGCGGCCGCAAAGAATCCGCGGGAGGCGGAGCCGCGCGCGACACATGGTGCGGGCCCCGCGCCTCTTCGGGCCGCCGGGGGGGTGTGAAGAGGGGAGGGGCCTCCCAGGGCCTCGAAGCAGAAGCTCCCGGCGGCCTAGAGCGCGGCTCTTGCGGCCCAGCCCCCGCCCCGGCGCGCTGGCCCCAACACTCACCCGTGGGGCTGGCACGATGGCGGCAGCGGCGGCGGCAACCCAGCGCGGTCTGCGACCGACTGTCCCTTCCCCCCTGCCTTCCCTCGCCCGTCCCGCTGCACTCTGGGAAACGTAGTCCCGATACACTCCTTATGTGCGTCAGTGAGCTTGAATAATACTACAATTCCCAGAGTGCTCTGCGCGGAGGCGCAGCCAAGACTCGTAGCGCGGGAGGCGAGGCTAAGTCAGAGAGGGCGGCTGTCGGAGCGAGCCCCTGAGAATTGTGGTCTAGCGAACACGGAGTTGGCGCCAGGCAAGGATCAGGTCTTGTCGTAGCCCGGTCCCAGCTGTCCTGGCCCCGCCTAAACTGTGTAGTGGATGGTGCCTGACCCCGCCTCCGTGGGAGCCCTGGTCTGGCTTGACGCTGGCCTGGCTTGTTCCTGTATCCCCTTCCTGGTCCCCTAGGCTGTATCTGCGTCCAAAGCCTACTCCCTCTAGGCGCTCTGGCTGCCAGTTCTGCTCACGGTGTGGCCTTAATCCTTAACCCGCGTGGCGAAAACCCACTCTCTCTTGTCCCAACATTTCGTTGAATTAGCTCTCTCTTGGAGGGAGCTCCTTACCTCCAAAGTTGGTTGCAAACTGACTAGGCTTTTCTTGGGCCCGAGACTCAAAACGCCCCTTAGGTGAGCCCTAGTTGGGAGAGGTTAATCTCACTTGTACAGAGAGGGTTTTCAAAACAGAATCATCCTGAGTTGTTTTTTGGTTTTCGTTTTTAAATTTCTAGGTTTTGTTTTGTTGCAGCGGAGAAATTATGAAAATTTTTTGTTTTTTTTACATTTTATTTATGTTGACAAAGGACGAGCCAGGCATGCGTGCATGCATGGAGGCTACAGGAAGCTTACAGGAGTCAATCTTTCACATGGGGTCTGGAAATAAGATTCTCAGGATTAGAGGCGTTACTTTATCCTCCGATTTTTTTCTTTTTCTTTTCTTTTCTTTTTTTTCTTTTTTTTTTTTTTTCTTTTTTTTGAGACAGGATTTCTCTGTGTATCCCTGGCTGTCCTGGAACTTGCTCTGTAGACCAGGCTGGCCTTAAAATCAAAGATTCGCCTGCTTCTCCCTCCCGAGTGTTGGGATTAAAGGTGTGTGCTACCACCGCCCAGCCCCAATTTTAATTTTTATTGAAAAAAAAACTGGCTCAACCTAACTTTCCCAAGTGACCAGACTGTAAATAATCATCCCACCCCTTCCCCCTTACTTTCAACATCCTTTTCAGTTTCCTTGGTAACACAAACATTTGAAGACCGTTTTCAGTCGGGTCTGTGCTGAGCAAAAGGCTCTGCAGCCAACCCAAAGAGCCACAGGGGAGGAAAATGGCTTCAAACACCCCTAACTCTTTCCTCCATGCCAGAAAAATTCTTAGTACTTCTGTTTTGCCATAAGATTTCCACTTTGGGCTGCACCCCACCTCCTGGGGATGACTGGTAAAACTAGGCTAAGCTTGGTTAAGTCCTGTCTGGCCAGACTACTTTGGCTAGAGGCTGCTTTTATGACCCAGTCACTAAGAGCTCCGACATGGCCTGTTGGGGATACATCTGGAGCACCACCACCACCACCACCACCACCACCACCACCACCAGGAAAACAAAACACAAGTTATGAGACAGGAGGAAGGATCCAGGGAGTGCTGCTAAAGGCTCAAGAGAAGCAAGGTGACAGCAGCCGTCCTTTCAAAGAACAGGAGCTCAAGGATACACAGCGTATGGCCCAGGACTGGGAAAGCCCCGCTCCGAGGAAAGAGCGTGGACACGTGAGAGTTTGGCAGTCAGCCTAGAAACGCACTGCTACGCTCTCACCATCGGATTAAGAGCCAAAGCTACCTACAAAGACAGATTCAACTTGTCCCCAAACTGGTCACCTATACAACCTACACTGCAGCTTCCTCAAGACCTATTTCCCAACTCAGAGCCAAAGGGCCAGAAAGGAAGTAGACCCTGGAGTCTTGGGGACTTGCAAGTCACAGGGCATGTCCCTAGGCAAGGTGACTGGTCCGTAAGTAACTCAGAAGTGAGTCAAATTTTACAGAGCCAGAGCCTAAGAAGAGTCCATACGTGCCTCAGTAGTCACAGAAACAGGTACTTTTAAAAGACCTCACAGACCAGGACAGATGGCTCAATAGTTAAGTATATACTGCTCTTTCAGACAACCCAAGTTTGGTTCCCAGTATCCGTATCAGGTCACTGACAACTGCCCTGTAACTCCAGCTCCAAGGGATCTAATGGCTTTCTGGCCAATTTAGGCAGCTGCAATCACACAGACACACGTAATTGAAAATAATAAAAGTAATGTTTTAAAAAAAGTCATTCATTGCCGGGCGGTGGTGGCGCACGCCTTTAATCCCAGCACTCGGGAGGCAGAGCCAGGCGGATCTCTGTGAGTTCGAGGCCAGCCTGGGCTACCAAGTGAGCTCCAGGAAAGGCACAAAGCTACGCAGAGGAAACCCTGTCTCGAAAAACAAAACAAAACAAAACAAAACAAAACAAAAAAAAAAACATTCACATCTGGTGGTGGTGGTGGTGGTGGTGGTGCACCTTTAATCCCAGCACTGGGAAGCAGAGGCAAGCAGATCTTTTTAAATTCAAAGTTAGCCTAGTCTACAGAATTGAGTTCCTGGACAGCCAGGGCTACACAAAGAAACCTTGTCTCGAAAAACAAGTTATTTACATCACCCCATTAGGTTTGAGCTAAATTACTTACAAATATAGATAAAAATAACCTCTCAGCTTTCCAATATCCAATCTAGATATAGAGGCAGCCAAAACCAGTGTAGGGGTTACAAACCAATTCCTTAATGTCCCCTCTATTCACCTAACTCTTCCACAATTGAAGGTGTACTGAAACCAATGTATTTGCAACAAGAGTCTCTGTTCCTGAAGGAGCCAAAGCTGCTTCCACTTCTGAACGTAAGTAGTTTTTTTTTTTTAAGTAATTGCTTTCACACAAGTACCAGACACTGTATGTCCCAAGGGATGAAATGGTAAACAAACTTCAACTCTAGATGAGAATTCAAGAAGGAGATTAGTGGTGCATGCCTTTAATCCCAGCACTTGGCAGTCAGAGACAGATAAAAATCTTTGAGTTTGAGGCCAGCCTGGTCTACAAACTGAGTTCCAGGCTAGCCAGAGTTATACAGTGAGACCCTGTTTCACCCCTCCCCCTACACACACATTCACACACACACACACACACACACGGAAATTAGGCCGGGCGGTGGTGGTGCACACCTTTAATCCCAGCACTCAGGAGGCAGAGTCAGAGGCAGGAGGATCTCTGAATTCAAGGCCAACCTGGGGCTAGAGTTCCAGGAAAGGCACAAAGCTACATAGAGAAACCGTCTTGAACCCCCCGCCCCCCCCCAAAAAAAAAGGAAATTAAAACTATCAAAATCTAGAGGAACAAAACAATTCCCATTTACTTGTCAGTCACACCTTTTTGTTTAAGAAAATCATGGAAAGAGCTAGAGACAGCTCAGTTGGTAAAGTGCCTGCCTGAAAGTACATCACAGAACCTACGTGATAAAAACAAAACACAAACCACACACACACACACACAAAAAACAGGCATGGTGATGCAAACTTGTAATCCTAGCACTCAGGAGGCGGACAGGCAGATTCCCTGAGGCTCACTGGTTGGCCAGGCCAGCCAGCCTAAACTACTTGAGTTCCAAGCCAGTGAGAAGACCCAATTTCTCTTTCCCTACCCCACTACCCCCACAGCTGATAGGCAAGTGCTCTACCACTGAGCTAAATCCCCAACCTCTAGAAGACCTAGATGGCAACGGAGGAAAGACAGCCCAGGAACCTCAGGCACCCAAACTACACACATGTACATACACATACACGAAGATCCAGGGAGAAAAGAATGAACAAATCAAGACCTTTTCATGCAGCTTCCAAACAACCATGGAGTGACCCGAGCAAGGAACTTTATGAAGATGTATGTGCTTTTCGTTGCTTTATGGAGAAACCCGGTCCATTCCTTTAAAAGGTCTCTATTTTCAGGGCTAGCCAGTTCTCTCAAATAGGCCAATACCTATATCATATTTCAAGGACACTTAGCTTTAATAAAAATAAAATGTCGAAACCCAAATAAAAACCTTACTTTTTTTGTTTAATTTGTTTTGCCAAACAAACACAGTGAAAACTTTAGTCTAATTGTACAGAAAATAGAATTTGTAACCAGTAGCAAACATAACAAGATAAACCTAAGTCCCTGGTAAGCTGGATCTCCATCAGCAAGTCACCTAGAGCCCTCTCATAAATGACCTTCTGGGTAGAGAGGTCCTAGAAGGCAGAGACACAGGTCAACTAGTCCCCATCAGAATCACAGGCTGCACCTGAAACAGGTAAGCATGAAAAGGAGAAATGATGTTACTGAGATCTCTTATCACTACACACAGCAAAGCTGTCTCTAACTGCTGGCCAACCTTAAGATGTGGTTTTCTCAAACCCAAGGTCCCTAATAGTCCCACCTGCATCCCTCCAGGATAAGTTTCGAGTTCAATGGTTCTGAAACCTTTGCTTAACCAGAATCTGCAACATAAACTGGGGAGTGAGAGACAAAGTCATAATTGCTGGTGTCACCAGATTCTGAACTTCCCAACTCCTGCTCCAGGAGGAAACAAATGAGGGTGCCAGATGACCAAGAAGAGTCCCGTCCCGTTGCCCTAAACCTCAACACTGTCAACCAGAATATTGGGGAGTTCAATATCCGCCTGAGGATTCCTTGGGCTGGAAGGTGTCACGA